TCACAACCTATTTCTGGCCAGCACCAACTTCCGGCACAACCATCGCCGTAGCGCTACCTGGCGTCCTCCCTCTGCGAACCAAGCTTGGACTCAGATCGATCACATTGCTGTCAGTTTCCGGTGGCGAGGATGCATAAAAGACTGTCGCTCCTTCTGGAGCACATGCCTGGACTCCGATTATGCGTTAGTGTGTGCCAAGTTCGTCTTGCGATTTGGTGGGGTTCATAAAAGGCGTCGTCTAAACGTTGATGTGAGCAAACTAGTAGCACCTGCTACTTCTCTGAAATACCAGAATGAGTTACAATCAATGCTTGCCAGCAACCCCCAAGTAGTATAGATGAACATTGGCTCCATCTGCAAGGTGCCATGCAAAGAGCTAGTGTAGCCGCTTGCGGCTTGAAAGAATGCTCCGCCAAAAACCACTGGGTTTCTGCGAGTTCCTTGCAACTCCTGGATGAACGCCGGTCCATTCCGGCTGGCAGCGAATACAGAAATAAGCGAAAGGCGCTGACGCACAAGATAAGACAGTGTTTACGGAAGGACCGCGAGGCCTGGTGGTCAGAACGTGCGGGTGAGATGGAGTCAGCTGCTGCATCTGGCAACAGTCGGAAGCTGTTCCAACTCATCCGAGCCACCGGCAGCAAGAAACAAGGTGTCGGCGAGACGGTCTGTGAGGCAGATAGCACGCCAATTACCAGCTTGGAAAGACGCCTGGAACGCTGGGCAGAGCACTTTGGGAAACAGTTTAGTTGGCCACCAGCTTCAATGTATGCTGTCATTAGCCCCAGTGCTCCTTGGTCGGTTAATACCGACCCACCCACCGAAGCGGACTTCCATAAGGGACTCCAAGTGTTAAAACGCCATAAGGCACCCGGCCCAATTAATTTACCCCCGGCTCTTTTTAAAGATGGTGGCGAGACTCTTACAATGGCTCTAACTGGGTTGTTCAGGAAGGTATGGGAGAGTGAGAGTGTACCATCAATGTGGAACGAAGCCATCATCGTCCCTATCTTTAAAAAGGGTCGACGTAATTCGTGTGACAATCATAGGGGTATCAGTCTGCTACCAGTCGCGTCTAAATTATTGGCTTCTGTCTTGCTTCGCAGGCTGTGCAAAATACGTGAAGGATTGATTTGCGAAGAGCAGGCTGGGTTTCGTTCAGGTCGTGGATGCATTGATCATGTGTTCACCCTTCGTCAGTTGTTGGAACACCGCCAGACGTATTGCAGGCCAACGATAGTTGTGTTTCTTGATATTAGGGCTGCCTTCGATTCGTTGGACAGAACTGTGTTCTGGAACTGTCTGTTAGAGAGAGGTGTACCTGAGAAATTTGTTAACATCTTGAAAGCCCTATACAGAAACACCTCAGGTAGAGTGAGGGCATACAACCAACTATCATCACTGTTCCCAACCAACAGTGTGGTTAGGCAGGGTTGCCCAATCTCTCCATTTCTCTTTAACTTTACTATCGATGACATTCTGGAGTCAGCTCTGAAGGATGTGCGTGAAGGTGGTGTAGATCTGTTACCTGGAGGCAAACTTTTCAACCTCGAGTTTGCAGACGATATCGTCTTACTGTGCGATAGCATGCAGGCTGCCCAAATCACACTTAATCAGTTGGCGATCAGTGTCTGTAAGTATGGTATGTACTTTTCGCCGTCTAAGTGCAAAGTACTGTTACAAGATTGGCAGGAGCCTGTACCTGCGTCCACTCTTGCGGGTGGACCGCTTGAAGTTGTTGATAAGTTTGTGTACCTAGGTAGTTGTGTGAGTGCTGGCGGAGGGGTAACGGATGAGATTTCCAACCGTATAATGAAGGCTAGGGTGGCATACATCAACTTGTGCCACCTCTGGCGCCGTCGCTACGTTAGCCTGGCTGTCAAAGGTCGGGTATACAATGCTTCGGTGCGGGATGTCTTGCTCTACGCCTGTGAAACCTGGCCTCTCCGAGCTGAGGATGTGCGGCGACTCTGCGTGTTCGATCATCGCTGTCTCCGCAGGATTGCTTGCGTTCGATGGCATCATCGCGTGAGTAATTCTGAGGTTCGGCGGCGTGTGTTTGAACACAGTGGAGATCACCATCCATTGAGTGTCGTCATCTGGAAACAACAGCTCCGGTGGCTTGGACATGTGCTGCGAATGTCATCCCAGAGGCTTCCGTACAGGTCTCTGTTCGCTAGCCCTGGGACGGGATGGAAAAGGCGGAGGGGTGGTCAGTCCATGACGTGGCGTCGTGGGATGAAGGATATTTGTGCTAGATTAGCATCGGTTGGTGCGTCATGACTCCCTGGTTGGGGTCCGCGAGATAGCTCGAATCGATGGCTCGAAACGTTATCGGATATGGCCAAGAATCGTAATCAATGGCGAACGTGTTGCAATTTCCTTCTTTCTTCCCTTCCTGATGAAGTTCTTTATCCGTTTTCTACCTATATTTTTCCTTTTAATCTATGTTGTTTTATCATTACTGTGTGGCGCATCTTTCTTGGTGCCATATTGTACCAACCAAACGAACCCCCCCCCCAAACAATCAATTGAAAATCATGTCTGAATCGGATTCAAAAGTGGTAACCAATATTCACCCCTAAATGAATACAGCACTATAGGTAGAAGTTAACGAAACACTATTTCTCTCTTTAGTGGGCACTAGTATGAATTCAAAACAACCATGCAAATTCATGTCTAATGCCACACAATTATGTCAGGCTAAAAGATTACAGGAACTATGTTCCTAAATGACAGATTTTTCTAGTCTTCCCGAATAAACAACGATCAATGGACGACAGATTTCATTCATGAAAATTTTACATCGCACAAATGTATCTGCGTATCTTTTTTGTTCTCTAAATTTCGATTGTGCATGATTAATTCCCCGTGACCTTCTATACAACCAGTATTCCATCGAAACCGGAAGGCCACTTATGGTGTAGTGCTCCAAATTATGATAAATGAGTCATAAACACTAACGCATTAATTTCTATTATTTTTCCGGCCTCTAGTTTTGTACCAGATTTTGGGTATTTGTTAGTACCTAGTCGAAATTGCAAAGAAAAACTACCAAGATGCTATGTAGCATTTTGTGTAACCAACTTAAATGAACCTATGACTTGTACTGTATCTGCATAATTAAATAGAAACCATTTGAATTCCCCTTAGTAGGATGCAATTTCCGATTCACAAACATCACTGAGCTGAATTCTTTTTTAACAAGACTGACTGGTTTCAACATTGAACTCTGCACAGGTGTGTAGCATTCCGAATTGCCACACTCCATGTACCACACAAAGCAAGAGAAGAGATTCAAAATAGAGAGAGATAATAAATAGAAGTGCGAGGGGAAAAGAATAGTAATATGGAAGAACAGTAGAGTTTTGTAAGATATGATAAATCATAAAGAATGAATGCATTTGCGTCAGCCATTGAGAACAATTTCGAGCCAGATAACCAATTGTCTACAGCCAATAGTTTTTACCATCCCGAGGACCCCAACCAGGAGGACTACACCTGATGTGGTTTAAACTCGCTGTCATAGATTTCTTTGACTGATGCCATGTTTTGGTTTGACCACTACTAGCTCTTTTCCAACCTGATCTTATGCTCATCGAGGAAGATAATATTTTTAAAAAGAATAAAATATACATATTGATTGTAATGAAAAACAGTAGCCCTGAGTTACCTAAATTTCCATCAACCATAATACATCTACGTTTCCCCCTTTCTCATTGTTTTAAAACCTCAATAACGTCTTTGAATCGCAACATTAACTCACGCAAATTTTTAATTGACTTCCAACTTACTGCTCTGAACTTCAAGGAGAAAATAAGGGAGAACTGTCGAAGAGGACGGAGTCATGTTTCACACAGAACGGTGCATCGTACAAAATACTGATAACGAATACTTCATTTGAAGACTTTGTACAAAGAGTGAATAATTTGAAAGCAATTACACTGAAAATTCTGTATCGCATGTTACCATAATTTTCAGAATAGAGCTATTTTTATTAAACCTACACTTCTTATCAGATGTTTTATAAGACTGACAATTAAAATATAAACGCATTATGAAATCGTTAAGTGTAGTGGTGTGATACAGACAATGTGTTCCAACGGAGTATTATTCTCACATATTCCCACAGTCCAATACTGCATCAGCAACAGAATGCTATATATATTTGAACGTCCTATTTTATGTTATTTAATGTAAACCAAAATCACATGCTCAGTGATTGGTTAAAGAATCTAAATTGTATAGATATAAATAGCGGTTTGATCACTTGGAAATATACCTTGACTTCCGTGTCTTGTCTGATAGTGAACATCCTCTTTATTCACATTTGTTTCCTTGTATCTCTTCGCGTAAGACCAGAAGAAATTTCATAAACATTTATGCTCGTACTACAAAATATAAAAATTCGACCGTACCATATTTGGCACGAGTATTGTGTGAAGAGACGAATATCAGAAAAGAACTTTTACAACTTTTAAATCATTAACTAAACCATAAAATGTAATGATGCATATTATTGCATGTGTGATTTCCTATATTATTTATTTATTATTCACTATGACTTAGAAATGGTGTGATTTTGTTGGGGTTTTTATTTTTCCTATTAATTATGAATATTCTTAACATTTCATACATTTATGTAATTATAAAAAGAGCTAAACCAATGCAATAGGTAAAATGAAACGCTGAAAATTCCATGCTGTAAATTGTTATTGTTGTGGAATAAAGTGATTATTATTATATTATTATTATTACATAAGTACTACATATTTTCGTTTTTTGCTAAGGATTTAGGAATTCTAAATATTCACTGAACCGACAGATCTAACCCTTACAAACCAAACTATAGAAGATCTAAACATACCACAGCATACTTAAATCAAGGGAATTACACTAAAATATAGTTTGGTATTATATCTAACTAGCTGCTCATATATTACACCTTTTGAGGTGAAATTTCACCATGATTATCTTTGAACGGTAGCTTATTGACTTAAATGCTCAACTTTCAGTCAGTGGGTCTCAGGTTCGAATCCTGCTCCACCTACTTTATAGCCTGGGCAACTGGGTACTATCACATCAGTCTTCGCATGATAACTGTGCTGTCCCGTGTGACTCAGTTCAAACGAACATTTTTTCTTCAGAGAACCAAAATGATCAGATCACAATACGTGACCTGAATGACCTCGTAAAGAGCGTCAAGAAAACAAGCAAAGACGTAACTAACACATACTAGTGATAAGTATGGGTGGTTGAAAGCTAATGTTATTACTTTTCTGTCAACAATAACAATGAATGTGTATAAAATGTATTCTAAAAAGTCATGAAATTAGCGGAATAATGTTTTTTAAAAAAAAGGGGGGGGGAAATGATGGTAAAATAAAAAGCATCAAATGACAGTCGTTATACGATGACAAGAATTAGTGTCAATTGTCAATAGTAACGAAATTGTATTCAAAGTATGGAATAGGAACGACATCATGTTAAAGTGAAATGTGAAGTACTACACACGTTTTAAACTATATCTTCTATAAGCTTTGAAAAGGGGAATACTTCGCTTGGAACTTTGGAGGCAACCTGAGAAATAGGTTGAGCAGGAAACAATCGCATCATTGGACTATAATAGTTCTTTTGTTGAATGGAATCTGGACTAACAGCTTTAGCAAAGCCAACACGATTTTTGCCCATATCGAATATCGTGTAATACTTACCAATAAAAACATCCCCTAATATCCACAACTTTCGCTTTGGCAAGTCCAAACCCATAAAACCACTCAAGCAAATCTCTGTACCAAATTGGGATACCTGTGTTAAAATGAAGAAAAAAATAGCTGTAAAGCAATTTATATATGAAGTTAGAAATAAACTTTAGTCACATCAAAATACTGATAGCAGTAACAAAGTCATCATCTATCACTGTACTGTCCTACTGAGTTAAATCAACTTGTATCAAAACGTTATGAACAACTGTTATAGTTTCTTCCAAATTCAATAAGCATTTTTCAAAAAGAATGGAAACTTTTCAAAAATGTATAGTGGTCTATTATTAATTAATAGGGGGTGACATAATTGATATAATTACTCGGAAGTGGCTTTAGAAGTAAAAATTAAAAGTTGTAAATTACGTGGTACTCAACGGCACAAAGATAGAAATTTGTTAAGGTTAAAATTGCTATTGAGAATAAAGGTAGTTGAATGTCAATTTAACAAGTGTGAAGATAATTACTAGCTTAATTCTCGATCACTTGGTGAACTCAGGCCACGTAGCTCACCTAGAGTCGTCTTTCAAGATCATCTGCAAAGTGAGGCCAAATGGTACAAAGGGTGTCAGGTTTTGGCTTCTGTGCATGGCGGAGTCGCTGGCAATTCGTCAATACAACCCCGAACTCTGTATACAGAAAAAGTGTGTCCAGTCTCTTATTCTACCTTGGTCTTAACCTCTTCACCAGTCGTTCCCTGTAAAAAAATTCTGATTTTTCCTTTTCTTTTCTAATTTTACTTAAAGTTCGTTTTTGCTTTAATAATTAATTCACTATTATCACTCTCATATGCTCCTTTGCTACATTTTCACACCCTCTTCACACTTGTTAAACTGACACTTAACTACCTTTATTCTCACTCAATAGCAATGTTAACCTTAACAAATTTCTACCTTTGTGCCGTTGAGTACCACATAATTTACAACTTTTAATTTTTACTTCTAAAGCCACTTCCGAGTAATGGGAACTTTTATTTGATACGACCACGGATAATCAAATAATTGGTCCATCTGTGCTTGATTTGGATTGATATAACGAGACTTTAATGAGTATTTAGTGTGATGAAACAGGAGCGGACAAATATCTTTTATTTTTATGACAATATTGGGAGTGTAAAGTAAGACTATAAACTGATTAGTAGCTGAACTCACAGACTGACTTCCTGTATAACCTGCAAATCATAGAAACAAACTAACTTTGAACCACACAAAAATGCAACGACCCAAAGTTGTTATACTTTAAAATGGTATCAACACGAAGGTTGATGTTGAGAGAATGCAGGTGAAAACTTTCATCAACGCATTACAAACTTCAACAAGATAGCCTACGCCTTCATCCACTACTCGTAAAATCTGCCAATAATTATCTTTATTGTCTAATCCCTCTGTTCTTTGGTTCAGCCGAATCCTACTACCAAACGATGATCCAAAAGCAAAATATGTCAGGTACTTCAATCTCTATGTGTTTAGTAAGAGCATAAATTATCTCCCCCATCTAACACTGTGCCAGACCTTCACTACTGACCTGATGGTTTGATGATAATTAAGTGTCATAAAGACACTTGAAAAGCTGTAACATTTTAGCGTCTGCTGTAAAGTTTTAAATTTTGAAAACTCAGTATGCGGGAGTTGGACAACATAAACAGGATATGGGTAAACATTAAAACGGTGTCTGGTAACCATTGCTGAAATATTCACTTTTTGTCAACTGATAGTTTAACATAAACGACTACCTCATTCCCTATTTTAGATATAGACAGAACACAGATCAGTGCGTAGAAGCAGGACAAAAACTCACACCTTAGCTCAAAAACACTAAATTTTGTCAACAATTACGAATAACAGGAACAGTATGGGTTGAACATTCCAGGAAATCACCCCCATGAGAAATCGGAGTTAAGCGACATCAAAAAGCCACAATAACATTATATATCCCTAAAAGACATCAATGTTACCCATTATCTCAATAGTCTACCGTATACCCAAGCAAAGAAGCTCGAGTTACACTGGCTAAGAAGCGGGTGTTTGGAGCACCTTATCCAATCAGCTATTGCCAAAGCACATATAGCATAACTTTATATTAAGAGCACACAACTTCAGTTGAAAATGTAAAATTTGACTGCAACGCAGTGAATTAATATATAGAAGTGATAATGGGTTAGTTTCTTCAGGCTATCGCAAAAAGCTAAATCTGGCGTATAATAATTAAAAATGAAATATTACCTTCATTATATAATCTGTAGGATCTAATGTCATATTTCTTCCATTTATTAAAAAATCAATCTTCGGGAGGTTATTGATCCGATCACATGGAATACTATAAATGCCACCAGGCAAGTAAGTGCCGCCAATTTTCTTATTGATTTCTGTTATCTCTTCAGTTGGACCAGCGATCATTGAAGTACCAGTGTCTGCAATGGCCAGACAACCATCCAGACATACTGCTGTGTCTGATAATATCAGCCTATATTTTAAAAAGTTTTTTTTGAATTTTCAGTTATACTTCAAATGAAATATTCAAGCAAAAGCTATGGAACACTTTTTTTTAATTTGGAAGCGATCTTAGGGAAGTTGGTAATGATAATCAAATGTCCCCTAAACATTTATTTATTACTAAAATAAACTTGGTACGCTATGGACACTAAGAGATGCCCCATACAAAATCAAAGAGTTTGTACAAAGGCTGGGGTACTATCCAGACCTCCAAGCCGAAGCAAGTTTTCTAGACATTGTTAGGTGACAGTAATTAGAGTGAAGTTACTATGATTATAAAAAACATTCGTCTTATTTCCCATCTGATTGTAATTGATCAATAACACTAATATTGTTATTTCAGAATGTACATTATCCTATATTGATTTTTATTCAAATATCTAGTCAATTCCACATATGCATATATAAATGAAGGAAAAAAGTTGTGTGAGTAACTTGATATGATTATGAGCAATAGTTTGTACTCGAAACATCGTCAGTTAATATTACTGTATAACTGTGTGATTTATGGAAATACAATCTTATCCATAATGGACTTATACTCTACCATAGTGCCCAAGTTTCATACTTGAGACGATACATCAGAACTTAGACTTTTAACCAACTTACCTGAAATAGGATGTTTTAGTTGGTAAGTCGCAACACCAAGTTACTACTAAGTTCAATGAAAACGCTTATAGTGTCAATTAAAACTACTTATTAAAAAACCAAGTCAATAATACTATACCACTTCTGCATTACTTATTCTCACTGGCCAGAACAGCTCAGCGCTGCTCGAGAGTTCTGATATCCTGCTAAAAAATGTTAATAAGCGTTAACTTCAGGCTTGCCTCCTCATATGGATCCAAAGTGTACCATCTACTATTTTGATTTCTCATTCACAAACTTGATCAACAGAATTTAGCCCGCACTAAAACGTAGACATTGTAAGACCTGTTAATGACTAATAACATTTACCCGCTGAACACTGGAAAAGAGAAATAAGCTGAACAACAACCAGCTAAATAGCTACTATTGAGTTTTAACTCGACAAAATAAATTCTCTTGAAAACTGGTAGCTTACTTGTCCATTTGAAATAGCCAATAAGATTTCTCCTTTAAATCTACGTAGTTGATTTCACCAGTATAATACTTCTTGTCTATACCACCAATCATTAATTCACCACCAAGCGAAGCTGATGCATTTCTATACACACATACATACAAAAAAGTAGTTATACAGATTGTACAAAAGCATAATACGCCTTACACGACTACAATCATAATTTAGTTCCCCTAGTTAGGTATCATTAAAATTAATGAAGTGATAAATTTAACACAATTAATAGAAGTGGTGGAATGAAAGTGTTTCAACATAAAATGACCGATAGTCTCTCAATAAGTTACAACTACTTTATAAAGATGCATAAGAAACCAAAACCATGATGATTAAGCACCATAACAAAGGGTGTTTTCCATTATTTACCACTAATAAAAACAGCATCCATACAACTGTCTATAATTTACACAAGGCTCACACCGACAGTTACTGACTACATGTTTTGATATTGATGATGGTCTCAAGCTTTTCTCTATTCAGCACTATCCTACCCACTAGAAGTCATTCAGAACTCTAAAACGTTCAATACTTATTTCCTTTCAGTGTACAATCACGACCCCCCAAGGAGGACTGAGTCCAGAGCCATCATCTAACGAGACCAGTGGGTTACCATTCAGTTACTACGTCAGAATTCAATGGCATATAATGCCCAGATCATGACGTCTCATAGAATATTCCCCACGCTGTTTAATGTCAACAGTTAGTTTCATATGTATTTAATTGGCCCACTTAAGAAAGCACCATGGCTCAACAATTAAGGAAATATAGACTGTATAATCAAGAGGAGTGATATGCTACTTTCCCAAATATACATGACTCATTAGAGACTTCTTTGGTCTATGGTGCTGATATCCTATATGGCTTAGACTGAGCAAAATCTTTTTTCTTCCTCATCACTCTTGCAGCTAATATAAGTTAACCATGTGACCACACCTACTACGAAACAGAAATATCCTTGTAAATTACATTAATGTGAGCCAATAAATGTCATTAAGTGTAAAGAACATGTGAAATCAAATCCTACTGAGTATTAATACTTGGTATCATGATTGTCTACAACCGCTTGTAAAGTGAGTAAAACTCCACGGACTATAGTGACTGACTTTGCTCCTTAAACCAAAGATTGACCATTACGTTTTCGGCGGTCGATTGACAGATTAAAACAGAATTCTGCACAGAAGTAAACCATTAATAATCTCTTAAGTTCAAAACAGTACACCGCAGTACTCCGCACTAAGTATACTTGAGATTTTCTAATAGGCATTTAAAGCCGGAGTCTTTCTACTTTCTTTGAAGTTAAATTTTTTTTAAATCCTGCCTCATGTAATGGAGGACATGCAAATGACTTCAGAATACTCGAAAACTATAGACTCATTGGAAAATTTCTGGGCTCCATCTCACCTATTAAGATAGAATGAAAAAACTGGCGAATCAAGTAAATTCTGGCGGATCATGTTTACAAATACAGGAGTAACACCATCGACAGCTATTGAAGGATAGGCCATACCGAGGATTCCATCAAATTTAGCCATGATGAAGGTGATCCCAGGTTGCTGGGTAGCTTCTCCAAAGGTCTGGCCACTGACTTTAGTTGAACCTACCTGATAAAATGATATGGGTAACTCAAACTCTGAAAACCCAACCTGAACAACATCGGAACTAAGGAAGCCACTTAGGCTACCAGTGCCATATCGAATACTAAATTCAGTGCCATTCGGAATATAGGTGGAGGATTTTGAGCTGTCATATTTTCTATGGAACAAACAAGCAATATCAAAATAGCTGCAGTGTTTTGACGGGACCCAAAGATTAGATGAACCAGTGTCAAATACAACACCGAATGTCTGTGGTGGAGTTCCAATGGTTATATCTCCATAATACTGAGCCTAAAAACCAAATAAACGAATAAGAACATATATTACGTCCAAATAGTTTTTCAAATATTCGGGTCCACCAGAGGTATTTCCTGATAGCCTTGATAACCAAAGCTTTTTGAGATTTTCAAAGGACGTCCCGAACTCAATTATATTGCGCTGCACGGACTTTGTTGGGTGGAGTTTAACCCTTAATTTCTATTAATTTTGTAAAGGCGGTAAATACCTGATAACTTCGGATGATACACAGCTCAGAAGCAGCAGGATGAAGAACATTTCAGCTGGAACCGCAATCCAATTACCACCTTGCACATTAGTAAGATAAAACAAACATTCGGTCATAAATTAAAACAATTGGATCTTCGAATATTCATAGTCAGTAAGGTAGTTCATGAGCTCGAACTGAAGTGTTTAATTTAAAGAATTCTGAGTTCCACTATGCAACATAATTATTGATGAGGTTGTAAACGCCTATGCAGTTCTACAGACTTGTTTCTCAGGACTAACATGTGTCCCAAGATATTTAACGGATTTCAGCACAGAATGCTTATGCAATCATCTGTTGCAGGATGTAAGTAAATAAGTAGGCAATCGAATGCACTGTGAAAGTATGCAATCAGAGTTATTTGGATTTAGCTAGTGATCTTATTCTAAAGACTTCCCTACATTAGCAATAAAAAATCGATCATAGTGGCACTAAGAGCTGCTGATAGCAATTCCAAGCAGTGCGAATTCCGTGAAGTAGAATAAGGCTTTTCTGATCAACGAAACAAGTTGATAGCTATTGCACACAATTCACAAGATAGGGAGCCTGCTTTGCACAATGTCTCGACAAGACGTGTCTTACATAACGAAAGTTACCCCTTGTTTTTCCTTTTAGAGACAGTGGCTAATGCATAATGTGAATGATACAAATAGTTTAGTGATTAATTCACATCTAATTATTGTAGTTTGAAATCTATGCTTGTAATTTAGCTGGTGTTTCAGAAATTGGTATGCAGATATCGAGATTTTAACGGTTAACTGGTTAGTTAACAATGGCTGGTCTCTTCCAATATCCAATATCCTGATTACGAGCTAGTATAAACCAATGATTTCTTTGAGCTCGCTTCTTGATTGTAAGGTAGAGGTTCCAGATCTTCGGTGAACTTATGCGTAGTAAGTCCCGTCACTCGACTGCTTTAGCTCTGGTAGACTCCAAGAGGAATGGCGCGGGGATTGGTCAAGATTGTGGTTTGTTGTATGCAGTATGTTAGGACTCAGCTGCTGCCGTGAATGGAGTTTGACCTAACTCCCGTTGGTCATTTGGTGTAGTCATAAAAGCAGAATAGTAATAATAATATGTTGTAGTGTAGATAATATAGGTTGAGGTAAGTGAAATAATAAGGTGACTTAAGGAAAAGATAGAGTAAATGGTTCAGTGAGAGGAGACAGGACGGGTCGTGGGGATTTAGTTTGTATGATTATCCATTGACAGTGTGGTTTTAAATCTTAAGAAGATAAGCCATTGAGACACGAACCATGCATTTCTGCATGATAGTCCAGCTTCCGCTTAAAAGTCTCCACAGATGGCGCTGTAGTTACGGCCGCCGGTAAAGCGTTCCAGAGACGGCAAACTCGAAGCGAGAAGAAATATGAACGCACTCGAGTCTTTGGTCTCTGGTGTGCTATCCTTAGCGGGTTACCTCGTGGAAGCCTATAACCACTTGATGTCAGGATGCTTTTATTTCGGTGGGCCCGGTCATTTAAGATCTTGTAGACGGTGATGAGGTCTCCCCTGTGACTACGGTAACTAAGTGTGAAAAGACTTAATTTCTTCAGTCTTTCGCAATATGATTTGCTGCGGAGGCCGATCACCCATTTTGTCGCTCGTCTCTGGACACTTTCTAGAGTTTCAAGTGTTGGTTTGTAGGGATTTTCATCATGAGCTGACATTAGTTAGAGATCTATTGGAAAACCTGGGAGTACTGGACAGCTGTTTCGTCCCAGTTTCAGGACTCTTCATCAGTACGCACCCGCCGGGATTCGAGCCCAGGACCTGGTTACAGGGCGAGCTTGTATACCATTAAGCCACTGGGACCCGATCCAGTGGCCCATGAATTCTAACTTCTGCTAATTCACGACATAGCGCGACTGCTGTAGGTGCGTACTGCTGAAGAGTCCCAAAACTAGGACGAAACAGCTGTCCAGAACTTCCAGGTTTTCCAATGGTTCCTTAACTAATGTCAGCTCATGATGAAAATCCTGTAACTTTCTAGAATGTTAGCATCCCTTTTGAGTAGTGGAGGAGCAGTGATATTATGCACCTCAAGGTGTGGCCTCACGTATGTCTTAAATAACCTAGAGAATAGTTCGAGAGTAAGAGCTCCCAGCTGACTATGCATAAAGTGTAAAGTTGCGAAGGCTTTGGTAACGTCCCTCGTGTAATTTCCACTGGTGTCTAGGTTTTCTGTTAAAATAAGACCTAGGTCACGTTCTGATGGCACACAACTCAAGCTCTGGCCACCAAGGGTGTAAATTTACTCTCTGTGACCTGCCGGAATGAAGTTTCACTACTTTGCGTTTCTTTAGTTTGAGGGGTCTTCCGTTAGCCAGAGCCCAGTCTCCCAGAGTTTGCAGGTCAGCATGCAATCTGCCTGAGTATTCCGATGAGTTTATTGCTCTCCAGATCTTTACGTCGTCAGCGTAAAGAAGCGCAGAGCAGTTCAGTTGACAGGGCAGGTCGTTGATAAAAATCAAAAACATCAGCGGCCCTAAGATAGAACCCTGAGGAACCCCTGATGCCGAGGTGTGCCAGGATGATCGGATGCGGTTGACTTTGGTGCGGAATTCTCTCGCCTAAATAATCTTTCAGCCATGCGAGAAGTGCTCAAGAAACACCCACTTTGCTTATTTTGTGAAGAAGCAGACCATGGTGAACTGTGTCGAATGCTTTCGCAAAGTCGAGAAAGATCACATGGACTGGTACCTTTACGTCCCAGGACAGTGTCCGATCGTTCCAAGCTAGTAGAAGATTCGTCACACAGGATCTTCCCCTCCTGAAACCGTGCTGTGCTTCATGGAGTAGGTTAGTCCCGTCGAAGTATTTTCTAATGTGATCGTCAACGAGACTTTCCAATATCTTCGATATCACTGGGAGTAGCGCAACTGGTCTGTAACTGGTCGCATTCTGCCGGTCACCACCCTTGAGAATAGGGGATAGGATGGCTCGTTTCCATTCACATGGAAGTTTCCTTGCATCAAAGGAGTGTTGAAACAGATGGCTTAGGAGTTGGCAGAGACTTTCTGAACACTGCTTCAGGACGGATGGTCTTATGTCATCGCAACCTGCAGACTTTCCCGAAGCCAACTTTCCCAATTTTACGAGTACCATAGCCGGGGTAATTTGAAATGTACCCAGCATGTTTTCGCACGTTGGTTTTGCATTGTGATCTTGGTGTTTTGTGAGGGTAAATTCCTCGTTACTGTTAAGTTGCCTGTGAAAAGCTAGACTGAATGTCTCTGCCATTTCAAGACTAGTAAGAGATTTACCGTCAGAACTCACTAGATTGCATGCTCCCTGGTTGGTCGGTTTTCTTTCAGACATAAACCTGTATGGGCTTTTGGGGTTCACGAGAAGCTTATTGGCGAGGTTTCTCTGAAATGTCCTTCTATCACTCTGGACTCGTATGTTACATCGATTCCTGAGTTCAAGGTACATTTCATGTCCGGTTTGACTCGTCGATACTCGCCACGCAAGCCAGGCTTTTCGCTTCACCTGCAGAAGGCGTTGTGTCCCCTTTTTAGGCGTGAACGTTGCTTCCTAGCTTTTGGTGTGACTGAAGGAGCAGTATCTGAGACCGCCTGGTGAATGATCTCCTTTACCACTCCCCAGTGTTCTTCTACCGTAAGCTCTGTCCAATTTTTTGGCCAATTTGCTTCGGACAAAAGTCTTCGCATTTCGGTGTAATTGGCTTTGTTCTAACACAGGTAGGGCTGTGTATTATCCCACTTTAAACGCTCGCGGAGGACTATGTCGAATACTATTGTAACAACAGAAGACAAGGGTCAGGCAACAGATCGTTTATTAAGGAAAATCAACACATATTTATAGATTTTAATGTACATTATTGTAGATCACTTTTAGTAGAAAATACAGTCTTTTGATTGTTTTTTTCATACAGAAAGTTAACCTTGCATCTCTTTGTGGCTGTGTCAGATTATCCATATGCTAACTGTATCCACCTGCGCTATGCCTTTGTTCTCATTTTCTCACCACCAATTAGGGGACATAAACATTGACGTCAGTTGCTGTCTACCAACTTTGGCTTGCAGCCAGCTCTCATCACACAATGACCGCGTGGTCACTACTACCTATGCGAGTCGTGATCTGAACGTTTTCCACTAGTGGCTGGTCACTAGTGAGCGCATAATCCAGTCTAGAAGACTTCCTATCTGGTCCCCATCTAGTATCCATCCTGACATTTTCAATAAATCCAGCCTTCCTGATGGTGTGCAGCAGATTTCGTGGGCGTATCCCGACATCAAGTTAAAAGACGGGGCACTGAAGTCGCCAGCTATGACAATTTGATCATAACCCACGTCTTGTGTCGCTGAAATTGTATGTAGCAGTCCCTGGTTGTGGTCTGCTCCACATGAAGATCATCGATAAATGCTGCCCACTAGATATTTGCGGTACCCAAAGGTGAATTGGCACCATAAGTAGTCAGGGTGCTCAGTGAGGGGAGGGTTCATTGCGTGATCACATCTGAGCTGTTTGTCGACGTATATAGCAACTACACCTCCTTCTTTCAGGTCCCCTTCTCGCCTGACTAGGACCATATCATTTATACTGACTTCGCTGTCTGCCACCGTAGGGGTTAGCCAGGTTTCCGTCAGTATTATGATTTTGGAGTTCTGCTGTGATTGTAGGTGTCTAAGTTCAGCTATTTCGCCTCTTAGCCCCCTCACATTACTGTACAGGCAACTGGTAGTCAGTCTCACCACGTCCCCGTATTGAGGGGGGGGGGTGGTTGACTTGATGTGGGCTGTTGGTTGAGGAGTTATCCTACGAACTAGTTGGCCGATTCCCCAGGAATCGACCAGTTGGCATTTTTTCTTCTAGTTCAATCGGAGCACTTGGATGACACTGGCTATCATCGTACGTGCTGCACCGCAGTGGTGTGAATAAGGGTTGAGGATTTTCTTTGACAACGCTTTGTTCTCCTTTGGGTATTAGGCCGGCTCTCGCAGCAGTGAATGTGTCTACAGTAGCGGTACGTCCAACGTTTGCGTTACATTTTTGCGTGATTCGTTACATTAAATTTATCTTGTTGTAATCCTTGCACAAGTACTCTACTACTTCCATACCTATAACTATTAACTCTCATATCAAATAGTTATGGTTAACCAAAGT